AAATTGAGGTAGATCAATAGGAAGTGTTATGCGCCAAATTGAGGTAGATCAATAGGAAGTGTCCATGAAAGTGAAATGAGGACCTTTCAAAGCATAGACTGGAAACTTAAAATTAAAAACTTAAAAGTCTTCAACAGAGTAAAAGGGTCAGGATCGTGGAAAAGTATAAAAACCTGCATTTTTGCGAATGGGTCTGGTATGGCGTTGTTGAAAACTTTCCTTGCCAACTACGCATGGAATTATGTACATTAAGCGAAGAAGGTTGACCAGGTGACGTACATTCGGAAGGCGGGTAAGCGACTAAATGAGGGCCTTTTCTCCCGTCAGCGTTACATTGTTTCTATTGAAAGCGACGTAGAAGATGATTGATAGATTCATTTAGGTGAACACACTGGGAACTAATCCCTTGTATCTCGCAGTAAGCCTATCAATTGGGAAAGTCTTCTACACTCCCTCTGCAAGGTATAGTTAAGGTCCTCTAGAATTTACTAGATGTGCGAGAAGTGGCAGTTGCCTGCCTCCTTGACATTAAGAGTGCATTTAATAACACCCCCTATTGCCTCATTTGCGAGTCGTTGCACAAATCTGGGATTGATACGAGGACGAGCAGACGGATTAGTCGTATTCAACAGGATAGGATCATAAAGTCAATCATATCTGATGATACATTTTTTGTCTTTGCTGCAAAAGGGTTATTTTATTTAGTTTAAATTAAATTATTAAATTATGCGTTGTATAGATTTGTAATTTTGAAATATAACTATGCATACTTTTTGAATTTTGCTAATTTTCTTTCCACTAAAAATTCGGTAACAGAAAGTAATTTTGCCTATATAACCTAGAAATTCCAGAAAGAGTTCAAATTATCAAAATGTAAATTAAAATAAAAATTTAATTTCATATTTTATTTGCAATTTTCCAGTAGATTGGAGTTAAGATATGTTAAAAATATCTTTTTCATTCTACCACTATACGTATAATTGCATTTTCTTGTTTCGTTTCTATTTGCAAATTTTCTATTAATAAACTTGAAATCAATTATGAAACTATGAAAAAATAGACAAAAAAATCAACGAAAAGCAAAGAATCGAAATGGGAAGTAAAACGATAATCGATTTGATTTCGATACGTAATCGGAAAGAAAAAAAATTTAAAAATTCAAAATAATAAGAAACTAGAAGTTAAAATACAAGAAAAAAAACTACTCGTTCAAAATATTAACTGGTTGGAAAACAAGTTTTGTTTGATTACCGTCTATTTTGTTTTTTTTTCTATTTGAAACTTAGGAGACTAAAATACAAAGTACGCTCAACATGAAAACAAAATATTTTCATAAATGGGATTTGGAGTGGTATAGCTGCTCACAAATGCATTTATACTGAATGCATAATAGATTTAAAATCCACTTTTATAAATTAATGAACAAAATTAATTTGTCCGTCCATATGTTATCAAAAATTTTATTGAGAATTCTTTAACAATGGTAAAATTATTATGAGTGGCAGTAAATCTGAGTTATTTTTTAATTTATTTACTATTTCCGTAGTCTATAATAATTGCAGCAAATAAAATTTCAAGTTGTGGTACGTTTCAGCAGAATTGCTCTATTCTGAATTTTGAATAGAAATAATTCAAAAAGGAACATTCTCCCTTGCTCAGGTTCCCTTATTGATATAAAAGTACTTATTTGCACTATAAATTTCCCCATAAATCTTAACATTAATAAATTTTAAATCATTTTAAATGTTCTCTCTTAGCAAATATTTTTACATTCTCAAAAAAAATATGTTTATACTCGTATTGTATAGAAAAAATTCTGGTCGTAAAGGATATTTATTTTGGGAGTAATATGAACGAGGTCTAATGTGAATATTCATCTACGTTATTAATATTTTTTTTTCTCCATTCTTGAAAATGCAGTATATTTTTCGATGCAGTACAATATTGCAGTATACACATATGTGCTAACAGAACATTTATTTAAAAGTTAAGTTCAGCAACTATTGAAATTTTAAAAAAAGAAAATTACACCCAAGGGAAATTATTATTTTCCTTTTGTTTACAACTTAAAAAAATATTGTGGGATTTTTTTGCATCACAGTTTATATAATCTACAAAATAATTTACCCATGTATTGATTTGCAAATTATTTTAATTTAATAATTGCTTTATAAGATTTTTTGATTTATTATTTTTTCTTAAATATTTTAAAGCCATTTAAGAATTTCCCATTGGAAATTATTTAAATCTAAAATTAAAATTAAATATGATTGAAATCTTTCTGTATCTAATTTCGTTGATTAAAATAATGATTTTGTGAACGAAGGAAAAAAACAAAAATCTCTTTCGGATGTGAAAACTTTTTTTTGTGAAACTAAATTACTTCTATTAAAGCTGGGAAATTGAAAAGAGCTTGTATTAAAGCAAAACGTTTATGACATTTATTTATTTTTACATATTCTATTGTAAAACTAAAAATTAGTACATGTATTCACTAGAACAGTACCTACCACTTTTTAAATTAAAATTTCTCGTAACGAAAATAAAACATTTGTGTATTATTCTTCACTCAATTATTATAGTACGCCTAAATGTATGCTATATTTCGTGAGATAATATTAAAATTCTGTACACTTCTCTCTTTATATACTAGCTACACATAACATTATAGAATCATAATCATTCGCTTTCATTTCATTTAATCCTCCCGTTTAATTACTCACGTATATTGTATAATGTAAATGTATAAATGCAAATAAAAAAAGAATTTAACAAATATTTATTGTATGTAAAATGTAAAAGTATGTATACAAAATGTATAAAATAACCTAAATACTTACATGTTCTTGAATTTTTGGTTTGATATCATTACTGACTACTTTTTTATTCTTCTCCTTTTTGGTTTACTCAAGTCAGCATTTTTTCCTTTTCATTTGTATTTCAATAACGTTAACAGTCGCGTAATTTTTTCGCATGTCAAGGTTATCAATTTACGTGTGGTTTTGATCGCAATAACTACATTATATTTTTATGTATTTGCTCTTAAAAGAAAAACATTTATGCCACAATAAGGCATTTTGTGGTGTACTTTTTTTAGTTTTTCTGTTTTTTATGGTTTTAAATTTAAAAAAATTAAATGAAACGAGTTATTAATATAGTGGAGACTTTTTTCAGCTTCAAATTTATTCAATTGCGCTATGTTCTCTTATACTTTTATATGCAATAAAACAAGAAAACTAAAATAAGTATAAAATGAATAAATCCTAATAAGGTAGAAAATTAATTTGTGGTGCTTCTTTTCTTCTGTTATTTGTAAAGGGAAATGGTTGCAGGGTGGTTAAAATTTTATAATAAATTTGTTATTAAAACAAAAACAAAATTATTAAAAAATTTTTTTATCTATAATAAGTAAATAAAAATCGCATTATTTTTTATGTATTTAATTACTTATAAAGTGAAATATTCAAATTGCAATTTTTATTTAAAGTACAGGTTCATTATATAAGCTCGTGCATTAAATTGTGGTTATGTATTTATATCGTGATTAAGATCATAGTATGGGAAGATCATAAATGCAGTCATGGCTGGCAGTAGTTGTCGTAGGAGAGGTCGTACTAATTTGCCCATACTTCTCTCCAGTAATCTACAATCTACAACCCACAAGATCATAATATTAGCATTGATATGCACTATCGCGATAGGGCGAAAGTCAAAAGGCTTTCTTACATTTGCTTTTATAAACTACTCATATGATTTTTGATGAACTGAGTGAGCTTTTATAGTTTTTAATTTATCACTGAGAAAGACAGGCGCACATAAAAAAATTTCTCTTAAAAAATTAAAGAAAAATATTGCCAATTTTTTCATAATTTATTTCTAATAAAAAAACAAATATTTAAGCAAATAATAAATACTAAATCAGACAGAATATACAAATAACGAAATTAAATTGCCGAGAATGAAATTTCTAAAATCAACAAAAAAAAAATTTTAACACAAGTTATTCGCAATAGAAAAGTAAATATAACGAAAAAAAAAAATTTAAAAGAAAAACCAATACCTACAATTTTTAGGTTAGGTTAATTTGCTTAACAAATTTATTTTCAATACTTTTTTATGATTGAAGGCCTCAATACAATAATGCTGACCACATTTTAACCAATTAATGACAACTAGGTGCTAATAAACAAGATTTTAACAATAAACGAAAACAAAATTAAAAATTATTCATATGAGTTATGACATGTCAAATTATGGCATCTATTTTGTATACAACATAATTCTTTGGTTATGTTTTTGACATTGAATTGTGTGAATTTTTTAAGTGTCATAATTTTTATGAATTTATATTTTATGGGAGAATTTGAATGAATTTATAACACTATATTTTTTTAATATATTTGAATTAATTTTATTTCTCTAGATAAAATACGATTTATGGTATTAAATAGTAATTGACAAAAAAAAATTAAAGCAAAACGTTGTTAATGCAATTTCCTGCTATTTTGTTAATAATCAAGAAATTGTTAATTTGTATCATTCTATGGGTATAGAATTATAATCCAGAGTAAAAAATTGGATAAGCTTTATATGCTAGGATAGAATCTATTCCAGATTATATGAATATTGTAAATCAAATTTTCGAATAATTTTTCTGCTAATTGTAGTTCCGGGTATCAGAAACTTTGTGTCATCTTCTGAAATATCAACAAAGAATTTGACTATGTGTTATGATCTAAAAATTCTCTAAGAAAAATATTACTTAGAGAAAATTCTCTAAGTAATATGAGTAAATTGTGGAAATGGTCAATATTAGAATTTGTTCGTATATGGAATAGCACTTGAGCAAAAATAATGCATTCTGAAAATTAGTATAAATTTGACATTATACATAATTCCTTCATAAATTCTGTTTAAAAAATTTGTTAAATTTCTCAGTTTACTTATAAAAATAATTTAAAAAACCAAAATAATTGAATATTTCCTTTTAAATTTTTCAGATCTCGTTATGAATATTTTACGAATTTTGACTGCACTATTTGTTTTATGTTCTGCTAATATTGTGACATATGGATCAGAGCCAATTGGTAAGTTTTACTAAATGATTTTTGACTAGAAATAAAAGTTGAAAATTGATTGGATTTTAGACAACATTAAAATCTTCTTAAACACCCTATAATCGCATATACAATTCAACATTTAAACTTATTTTAAGAGCATATTGTTTTAATGAAATTGCACGTAATGTGGAACGTGCATACGAAAAGTAGTCTACATTTTGAGTTTCATTCAGTTTTTTATTAAAATTTTAATGCGTTTTATGTCAAAATTTTAATTTAATAATTAATTTCAATTCGTAAAATTTTTCTTTTTTGTATTTACAAATTTAATTTTTTTTTTTCATTTTATCATTTGGAAAATTTTTATTAATTTCCCAAAATGAAAAGAGATTTTAACGAAATGAAAATGATATTTTGAAATTAATTTTTCTTTTATTTATTTAAGTTTTAATTTTAAATATTTTTCATATTATAATCATGAATAAAAACCATTGTAAATTAATTAGTAAGATGAAAGCGAGATTATAATATTAAATTTATATTTTAATTGCCTAACTTATAATGAGCCTTGAGTTCTTTGTGCAAATTTGACAAAAAATTATACATTTTTAAATAACGGTGCACTGCGACAGTAATTGAAAATTATTGACAAAGGATAAATTTCTTTCTTTTTTGTAATTTTCATTATAAAACATTGAAATGATGGAAGAGTAAAGAAAAAATGATAAGTAAAGAAAAAAAAGTAGGTATTAAAGGTGATTTTCATGTAAGAGGCTTAGACTTATATTAAGGATTATGGATTTATGTTCTCCTTTAGATTTAGTATGAAATACAGTGGGGTTTTTTTTGCGGTTTGAGGGATACGTTTACCACATTCTTTGTTTTATTAAGGAAATTGTTTTATAATAAAGTTGAATTATTACAACTAATTATACTCTACCAAATAGAATGATTTGCGATATTGTCGGTAATATATGAAATGAAGAGAACGTCCAAAATTATAATTTAAAAATTTAAGGGTTACATGTCGTTTTTCTTAAAAGTTTTCCATTTTCCTCATTTCATTTGCTACAGTATATTCTAATATGAAACATACATTTTAGAGATTTGCTGACAAATAACAATTTTTAGATTTTTTTCTAAATAGGCTGATTTTAACCATAGCATACTTTTCTGTTTTTAAGTACACATATATTATATTATGAACAAAATATTATGAACTTCAATCTATTTTCAGAACACACTTACATTTTTAATGAATAGCAATTGTTCCAAGGATGTTTCAAAAATAAAGAAAAAACAAAGAAGAAAAAACCTTATTACATCGTTGATTTTTCCTTTTATTTTCTTATATGTACATTTAATTTTTCGTTTTTTTTCTTTTATTATTATTAATTTCCCTCACATAATCCTTTGCTTCTTTTATTAGTTTTTTTTTTGTTTTTTTCACAGAAAAAAATAATCACTATTGTCGTTACATAACATTAAAATAAAAAAAATTACTTTCGTTATTTTTGCAAGATATCAACAAAATTTCTTCTTTGAAACTTTTAATAATAAAATTTTTTAACTATGACGTACAAAAGAAAAATAAATTTGGAATTAAAATTTCCAAAACAAAAAATAAAGAATTTTGAGAAAATAAAGAAAATTTTTTATAATTTGGTATATACAAAACGTTTAAAATAACTCAAAATTAATTGTTAATTTTCTTTAGTTTTTAATTTTCATTCAGAAGTTTTCTCGTCATTATCCTTTTCGCAGTGTTGAATGAAATTAAGCATTCGTTCACGTATTTAAAGCATTCTGTTTAAATTTACAAATGGGAAAATTAAAAAAATTTCGTGTTTTGTTTATTTATTAATTAAAATTTTTCACAAACGCACGTGCTACAAGTAATATTTACTTTGATACTAATTATTTGTTAATAAAGTATATGTTAGAGCAAATAAAGAGAGAGAAAGAATGCTTAAAAGTAAACAAATAATTGAGAATTGTAATGAAAACACATGCAAATTTTTTTCTGTGTATAAAACGCAATTAAATTATTTTTATGTATATAAGCATTACGTAATAGTGAACAACACATTGTAAAATGGTTGTTAATTATAATGGCCATGATTAAAGTATGTTCACTAATTTTCATCCACAATAATAAAAAATACAAAAAGAAAAAAAAATTTTTTTTTTTATTTAAGAAAAATCTTTTGTCTTGAAATTACAATGGGTACTTGTACAAAAAATACTTACACAAATATATTATGTTTAAAAATATTCCGTATAAAACGGAACGGAAGTGCAAGGCCAAGGATAATAGGATTAAATTAAGGACAAAAATTATTTATATATCTTATAATATTATAGTATTTTGGTCCAAATACTTAGGGTATGTATGTACATTGAATAGTCTTATACGGAAGAAGGAAAATCAAAAAGAATTTTCCTTTTATTTTGAAATATTTTTTTTTAAAAGAGGCAATTTTAATTTTTTTTTGTTGTTTTCTCAATTGCTAAGAGATTTACGTAACAATAAAAGGATGGAAATTAATGAAAAATTTTTATTTTAAAAATTTTTGAATTCAATTTAAATCCGATTTGTTATACAAGTTATATGTAATTCACGTTTAAATTTAATGAATTAGTCAGACTTAGAGTGGATTTATAGAAAATTTATCGTTGTTGGATTATAATTCATATGACAATAAATAAATTATTGCTATTACAACACATGTGTACTGTTGTAGGGCATAGATCGCAAAATGAGAGTAAAAGTAAAAAAATTTAGGCAAATATACTCAAATAATATTTTTTTATTTCATAATATATAAGATAATTTGCCCATAATATTGAGGAAATTATTTTTACATATAAGAATGATATTAAATTCATGAATTTGAGAAATCAATTGCAAGGTCACATATTATTTTATTATTCTATTTATTTTTATTGAAGTGTAATAAAATTTTAATATCTTCCAACTTCTGCCTACTTATTAAATATTAAATACTTTCATTCAATCATACTATAAATAAATCTTAAGATTAAAACTTATTATCGTTAATAAATTATGAAAATTACTCGACATTTATACATACCCATATACTTAACAATTTGAAACATCTGAAGGAGATGAGTGCAAAATAAGAACATTTCTACAATAAATTTAGGAAGAAGTACAAGATTACTCCCTTTTCTTTGTCCGTCTTTGTGTGTGTCCAAAAAACTTTTACATTCTCTTAAATGAAATTTTTTTATACATACATATATGAAAATCTTTGTGTGAAATTTATTTTTCACAGCGTATCTAAACCACAAGCGCTCTTTTAACATTACATTACTAGAAAAGTATAACAATTTAATTCTTCCATCGTAAAACAATATAGACATAGATGACACTTCTACAAAATTATTGTTGTAATTAATTTTTATGAGCTTGTTTTTATCTTTTTGTCAAATTTTAATATCGCTTATACCGTAGCTGGTAAAATCAATAAAATTTTTTGAAACCTTCCTCACATCCCGAGTGATCTTCTTAATATTGCTTCGCTAAGTATATGCAATAATACCCATCGCGACTTATCTTTTATATTTGATGCCCCTAAATATATGCAATAAGACAAATAAGGCACTTTATCGCCTTATTTACACAATTTCTTTAGTTTTTTTTTCAGAAGTATGTCCTACTTTATAAACCACAAATATCTTTTAGTGAATTTATTAATAATCAAGATGAAACAAAGAATCAGAATGCCTTATTCTATAAAGAAACTAAGTATTAATTAACCACATATACATAATATGTATAGACATGCATAGAAGGCACCATTAAACGTAATACAATTAAATTGACATTATACGAAATAGCTCTTATTTTATTACCCGAAATTAAATAAAGAATTATCAACTTAATTCAATATGCAAATTGATTAATAAATCTCCTCTCCCTCATATTTCCCTGAGCCCTGCCTTTTCTCCTAATTATATACACATATTATGTAAATTGGCAATAAAATGTATAAATTTATTAAAATTATATATAAAATTTCAATAATTAAGTATTGGAAATTGTTTTTACCCACAAGTTATCGAATTCGATTATCATAAAAAAAATTGAATTTAATTTTCAAATTCAATTCAAATACTCTTCTTTTTTTATACAACTTTGCCTCAATTCCATTAAGAAATTCAAATTCAATTACAATATTATTCAGGAAATTATTTTTTTGTACATGTACATGTAAATATTATACAACTGGTAGTATACATAAGTATTTCATATAATATATGAAAGAGTTAATTCAAGTGAAATTCTATTATACATAGAATTATAAAACTTTATAAATCAGTTGTTAAATAATTGCATGCACATTTAATAATATTTGTAAAATTGTTCTTACCTAAAATACCCAAAATTTTTAAATTGCTTATGTTATACTTAATATTTCATGCCCTTTACGAATATAGTACGAATATTGTTATACTAAATGACTATAGTTATACTAAATATTATTTTATATAACAAAATTAAAAATCTGTGGTTTTTCTAATAAATAAACAATATTTTACTGAAAATTTTTGCTTTACATTATTAAAAGTCATACAAATAAGGGGGCAAAGTGGACTTTGGTTAAATATTAAACCACACAATATTTTTGTAACGTTATTAATATTTTATTACATAATATACATACGTTCATAATTATGTATGCAAGAATACATACATTTTGTTTCATTTAATAAATGTTTGAATAAGGTTTGTGTTAGGAATTGTAAAAAAAAACAAGAAAAATCAGCAAAAATATTTAATAAATGAATATATGAGGTCCTTAACATATATTTCATATATATTAATATTATAATAATATTATATTAATATATATATATATATATATATATATATATATATAGTTATCCTTGTTCTTTATCCTTAAAACATAATAATAATGTGCAATAATATGAACACAATGAACATATTAACAAAAAATACAATGTAATAAGGACAAGAGGATATTCAAAAAGTTTATTGT